TGCCAATACCACACTGTTTTGATTACTGTAGTTTTGTATTAAGTTTTGAACTTGGGAAATGTGAGTCCTCCAAATTTGTTCTTCTTCAAAATTGCTTCCACTGTGTGGGATCCCTTGCAATTGCATATGAATTTTAGGATCCACTTTTGCACTGGAAAAAGGCCATTGGAATTTTGATTGCATTGAATTTGTAGATCATTTTGTGAGTTTTGCCATCTGAACAATATTATGTCTTCCAATCCATGAATATCAAATGTCTGTTGATTAATTTAGGTCTTAGGTCTTTAATTTCTTTCAGCAATGTTTTATATTTTTCAGTGTACAAGTCTTGGTTGGACTTCTTTGGTTAAATTTATTCCTAAGTATTTTATTCTTTTTGATGCTATTATACATGAAATTGCTTTCCTTTTCAGATTTTTCATTACTAACACACAGAAATAAAACGCATTTTTGCACATTGATCTTGTGTCTTGAAACATTGCTGAACTCATTTATGAGTTCTGATTGATATTTTGTGGATTACTTAGGATTTTCTATGTATAAAATCATATCATCTGCAAATAGAGAGTTTGAATTCTTTCTTTCTAGTTTTTTCTTTCTAGTTTAGATGCTTTTTATTTCTTGCCTAATTGCCCTGGCTACAACTTCCAATACAGTGTTAAATAGAAGTGGCAAAAGCAGGTATCCTTGTCTGTTCCTAATCTTAGCAGGAAATCTTTCAGTCTTTCACTATTGAGTATGATGTTACCTATGGGTTTTTCATAAATGTACTTTATCATGTTAAGGAAATTCCCTTCTATTCCTAGTTTGTTCAATGTTTTTATCATGAAACAGTGTTGGATTTTGTGAAATTCTTTTTCTGCATCAAGATGGTCATGTGTATGTGTGTGTGTTTGCCTTCATTCTACTAACACAGTGTATTATATTGAGTTTTATATGTTGTACAAACCTTTGATTTCTGGGATAAATCCCACTTGGTCATGGTGTATTATCCCTTTAATATGCTGCTGGATTTAAATTAACTTGGCTAGGAGTTGGGCAACCATAGCTGCCAGAGGCTTTAAATTCCTCTAGCATCCTTGTTGTTGTCTCCACTTGTGACTTTGGGCTTCCCTAAACACTCTTCCTCAAGGAGAGTCTGTGTCTTGTAACCCTTTATGCTGTAATCCAGTGTTATTGTACTGAAGCCCCGTTGCTCTGGTGGCAAGCTGTGGGGGGGATTCTATAACCTTCAGTTAAATCTCAGTCTTAGTGGGCCTATGTCTAGGGCCTGGGAGTTACTCAAGCACTTCTCCAGTGGTATAGCTATTTGGCTCCTGACCCTGTACTCCTTCCCTTGGTTGGAGCATTCTCAAACCATTTCCTTGAAGCCATGATCCCCGTTGATTACGTTTTCTCCTCCTTAGTGAGACAGGAGGGTTAGAGGGGCTAAAGTGGGAGGAATGTCCTTAACCCAGCTAGCATAAGACTCTGGTAAACTCTCTTCCCCAGGAGAGTAGGCCTTTTTGGTGGAGAAGACTCTGGATGTGTTTCCCAACAGTTACCTGTCCCCTGCCAGAGCCCTCAGGGGATATTTCTCAGGTTGCCATCATGTAAATCCAAAGGAGTTTCTGGAGCTAATGGCAATGGAAATGCAAGGCACCTCTTAAGACTATGGCCCTCAGGAGTTTCTCACTCTCAAGTTAGTCCACATTCAACCTCCAGCAATTCAAAAAATTATCATTTAAATAGTCCTACTAGTTTATGGCTCCAGCAGCTTCTGTTCCAGGTAAGCAGATCTTGGCTGTGTCTCTCTGGATATGCCTATCTCTCCAGATTTCAGTATCGCAATTTGCCCAGCAACCTTAGTTCTCAGGACGATAAAAGAAAAGTTATTGATTTTCAGCTTGCCCAGCTTTTTCTTGTTGAAAGGATAGGAGTGATGACTTCCAAGCTGTTTATATGTCATAGTTGAAGTCCCAACAAGTTTTTGAATGCTAGAGAATTGAGGATTATTGAATGCAAACAAAATCACAAAAATCCTTTAACCACTCACCTTTAAATGCTGAAGTAAAGCAACAATTTCATAATTACTTCAGTGTCAACAGAAAGGGTATCAGATGTGTCTGTGCAGCATATACAGAAATGCAGAATATGGGCAGGACAGCCAACACCTCCCGTAGAATCCTCTATACTTTGTTTCAACTTTGAATTAATTGTATGCACTTTTGCACATCCACCAGAATTTGCATTTGTCTTATCTCTACCAAAAGCAGTACTTTTCCTCATTTATTCAATAAGTGAGTTTCTGCAAAAATTTTATATTGTTTCTGAAGTCTCATCTGGAAGGGATTTTACCTGCACTAGCCTTCCAAACAAGACTTTTTCATGAGAAAAACATTGCATAAGCAAAGGGATAATTTTTTCTGCATTGTGATTACTTGCATCGTGGGCTGTGTTATGTTGTAAAAAGATGAGAGATTTTAGACCTTTAATAATCTCTCCATTAGTAAATGGAGCTATTACATTTTTTATTATTGCAATATTTTATCCTGGCATTTGAAAAAATTCGTTTGCAATTTGAGAATCAGAAAGTACTCCTGGTGTGTTTGATCAGTCATTTGTGCTGAAAAGTTTGATGATGATGATATAGTGTGGACAATCATTACAACTTCTGCTGATTATTTTATTTTCATCCAAATTTCTTTTAATCAGAAAATTTGTTACTTTATCCCTTTATAGTTGAGGTAATCATATATCTCTTAGACTTAGCTGTTTGTATATGGTGGTTTATATTTGACTTTCCATCATTTTTGATACTAAATGAACAGTTTCACAGTGCAAAAATTTCAAAAGGACATTTTCCTCATTTAATAGATACCGAAATGTTCTGAAAATTAGTCATGAAATTTACACTTATATTTGGGATTCAAACACACAAATAAAAAACAGACAATAGCAATCACCACATGAATTGAAAATATTGAATTTGATAGTCTTATGGCCTCATTAGTGCATTTGTCACTCACAAGGCTGAAGTCATAACAGTAAATTGGGGTTGAACTATTGGAATGGTTGCAAACTAACGATAAATCGAACTGGATATGTGATGCAGGAAAGGTAAATTTCATGTATGCCTGCAAGGGAGAGCTGTATTTTCAGGGAACAGGTTCCCCAAAGAAAGCCAGAGCTGATCTAATACAAGGTTTTGGGAAGCTTGGTTCAGGGATTCGTGGCTTTTCAGAAGAAGTGTTTATGGATTGACAGACTTGCAACTGTGTTAGTGTGATCAGTGCAAGGCTGGTTTTGACTGGTGTACTTTCAGAAGTATGGCCATTGGGGTGAAGCATTTGCTGATTGTTGTCTAGAGGCATGGGACCATCACTAACTGCTGACTCTCAGAAGCTGGTGTCTGTCATTAACTTGCTTTCAGAAGCAGGGCTGCTGTTGCTGACTTTCAGAGCATGTGTACTGATCCAAAGTTACTTCTAATTAATGGTGATTACTTGTTTACAACTTGAGACTTTAGCAAAAAGGAGTCTTTAATATGGAACACAAGACTTTCAATTCTCAGTTCCCACTTTTGTTCTTCCCTCAACCAAAAACACAGGAGAGACTATAAAGGATTCTTCAGATCTTTATTTGTGGAGGTCTGATTTTTGGCTAGTGTGCCATTTAAGTAATTTAAGTGCCAATTACTAAGGCAGGAAAATAGCTCTAACTGCTGATTTTTTGTTATTGTAAAAAAACACAACTGATTACATTAAGGACAACCTTACAAAGCTGATACAGGATGCAGGACAAAATCATTAAATACAGAACATGTCCTCTACATACAGGTTACCTGGCAACCCTGTGAGTCAGTTCAGCCTTCTCACTCATCAACCTCATCTATTTGCTTGTGAACACTCTAATTTATTCTAATATGTAATCTGTCTCCTATTCTTCATCCATGCTGTCACTGGTTGAGTTTGGACTCTCATTCATCTATCACTTGAATTACAATAGCCCAGATTTCTAGGCATCAGTCTGGACAGCTTTCTTCAACCACCTAAATTCATCCTTTACACATTGTTGCCAGAACAATTTCCGTTGCTTAAAACCTTTAATTCTGCCAATTTCAGGATAAAATCCAAACTATTTAGCATGGCAAATAGGCCTTTTGTTATCTGGCCTCTGCCTTCTACTCAAACTTTAACATCAGTCATTCTCGTGCTCTTTAGTTCTATACTTGAGTTTCCACAAAGGTGTCATATTGCCCACCTGTACCTTTATATATGCAGTTTCTTCTTATTTGGAATGTGTATCTCACCCTCTAGAGAGTTCCTATTATTCTTTCAAAACCCGGCTCAGGAATCACTGCCTCTGGAAAGCTTTCTTTGAGATCTCTAGGTTTCCTTTGTTAGGTTCAATCTCCTCTTTCTGTGCAAATCTCTACATCCTTGCACTGTAACATATTGTCATATCTACTTGCCTGTTAAAAAACAACTGTATTTACATACTGTGACACAATAATTTGCTTACTCATCTGCTAGTGCCTCAATTCCACCCCCTTCCCCCAAGTCGTGGCTTCTCGAAGGCTTGTCTCTCTTCCTAAAACTCCCAGTATGCAGTATAGTATCTGCCCCAAAGCTGGAATTAAAAAAAAATTACCAAATTGTTTATAATTACTCCTTTCATTTTCCTGAAGTTGACACTAGACAACATCAAGTAAGGAAAATATACTTTTATGTCATGAAATGACTGATGTACCTTTTGACATCTTGGCACAGGTGTTCGATTCATTAAACTTCTTTTGACAGCTCCTTCTGTTGTGAACTTAAATATATATATTTAACAGCTTTAAACTTGAAATAATTATTTTTCCATTTAATATACCTAAGATGACAGCTCACAGTACATAGCAGGCATACTTTCATAATAAAGGACTTCAGAGAAAACAAAAAAAAGGTTCTGAGAACAAAATTAGAAATTGGGTAGAAATTCCCAATTCACAGCAAATTAGTGGAAGTACAAAGGAAGAAGAGAAGAGACTTTTATTTTTAAATGAAATCCATGCAAAAAGTTTGACATCAGGTCAGGAAAAGGACAAACTCCATAAACTGAGAGGTAGTTTACAGTTCATTTTGATCTTTTATTTGGTCCTTTTCTCTAAAAATGTATAATTTCTTTGATCACATCTTTTATATGCTATAAAATGTTATTAAAAAGTATTAGGTTTACACAGTGTTTTTAATGAGAAATCCAGTGCACACCCCCCACCCAGATGTTTATGACAATCACATATAATATCTAGTGTACACTGCTGTATAAAGAAAACAATTCTTTTATTTTACAAATACACGATGTCTCCAGTTGTGAATTCTTCATTTCAGGTTATTTAAAAAAGTGTCTGACAGGCATGAACACTTTCCACTTTCCTCATTATCTATTACATAGTCAATGTTTATCCTTGTAATTTAATATCTGATGAGAGCTAAATTACAAGAAGGTTTTTCATATCTATAACATTTATTACATCTCTCTCATTCTGATGAGCTTTGGTTTAAGGCTTTCACACATGCAATCCTACTTTCTAGGGGTTCTCTTCAATGTGAATTTTATAATGATTAGTAAGGGATGACCTGTGGTTGAAAAGTTTCCCACATGTATTACATTCATAGGGTTTCTCTCCAGTATGAATTCTCTGATGAGCAATACGTGATGAGCTTTGTCTAAAAGTTTTCCCACATGTATTACATTTAAAGGGTTTTTCTCCTGTATGAATCCTCCGATGTTGAATAAGAGCCGAACTTTGGCCAAAGGATATCCCACATTCTTCACATCGGTATGGTTTCTCTCCAGTATGAATTCTCTGATGATTACTAAGGGAGGAGTTACACCTGAATGTTTTCCCACACTCATTGCATTTATAGGGTCTTTCTCCGGTGTGCATTCTCTGATGTTGAATGAGGGCTGAACTTTGTCTGAAGGCTTTCCCACACACTTTACATTTACATGGCTTCTCTCCAGTATGAATTCTTTCATGAATAATAAGTGTTGAGTGAGAACTTAAGGCTTTACCACATTCGTTACAATTATAAAACTTCTCACCAGTATGAATTATTCGGTGTCTATTAAGTCGTGAAATAGAAGTGAAGCCTTTTCCACATTGATTACATCTGTAGGGCTTTTCTCCAGTGTGAATTCTTTCATGTTGAATGAGAGATGCACTCTGACTGAAGGCTCTCCCACATTCACTGCATTTAAAAGGTTTCTCTCCAGTGTGAATTCTCTGATGATAACGAAGGGATGAGCTAGACTTAAAGGTGTTGCCACATTCGTTACATAAATAGGACTTCTTTCTGGAATGAATTCTCTGACACCCAGGAAGGGATGCACTGCAAGCAGATGCTTTCCTACCTGGATTATATTTATGGGGATTTTCTCCAGCATGGATTTTTTGATGTATAAAAAGGCCTGACCTTCGGCTGAAGGATTTACCACATTCTTTACATCTATAGGATTTTTCCACAGTATGTGTTCTTAGATGTTTATAAAGGGATGTACTAAGAGTGAAGGCTTTCCCACATTCTTTACACACGTAGGGTTTCTCTCCAGTATGAGTTATTTGATGTTGAATAAGAGCTGAACTTTGGTTAAAGGCTTTGGAACATTCTTTACATTTAAATAATTTCTCTCCACTATGGTTTTTCTCATGTTTACGGAGGGATGAAGTGTTAATGAAGGTTTTCTCGCATATACTACATTTATAGCGTTTCTCTGCTGTGATGATTTTTGGTTGATTAAATAAATTTGAATTCTTTTTGAAGGTGTTTCCTTGTATTTCACATTTTGGTGGTGTTTTTTCCCTGGGAACCATCTGTTGACTAGCAAGGACAGAATTTGAGCTGAAGTTTTGGCCAAATTCAGTATTTTTATGTCTTCTTTCTGCAGTGAGGATTTTTGTGTGGCTGACTGAAACTACCTGAACACTTTCTTTTTTCTCCTGCTTTTTCTCTAATCTGTCTTCATATATGCAGGGTTTTTCTGATTTGAAGTCCCAGGGTCCATTCTTTTTGGATATTTTCATTATTTGTTCCTGAAATGAAGAATCTTGTGTTTGAGTTGACTTTGTGGTTTTATGACTGCTCTTCCATCCTGGAGAGGGAAAAAGTCAAAGATGTTTCATGTGATATATAGCATTTGGCTACTGAGACTATATATATAGAATGAATAAATATTGGAGGTATTTAAATAAAGTCTTGGTGTTTGGCTAAAAAACAGTAAGAGAAAAAACTTAAGAGCTTTAGGCAATATAGAAAAATAATTGATGGGTGCTGAAGTACTAGGGTGGAGAAAAGAATAAAACAAACCCATTTAAAGAGGGTGAGTGTAAGAGTGACCAGGAGAATTGGCTAATGGAGAATGGGGAAGAAGGATTAAAAGGGGAGTGTGAATTGTGAAAGGCGGTCTGGGATCAGAGTCCAAAGCCCATGACAGACTCCTTAACTATCTTCTCTTCTTTTGTAAGACATTTTTCCTCTTTGTGTAATCGTACCTAATCTGGAAAGTCTTCTCCCCTTTCCCTCAGGCCAAATTCCTTTGTATCTGCCAGATTCAGTTCAACAGTTAACTCCTTCTAAGTCCTGTCTTTACTCTGAGTTTCCATATCCATTTCCCTTATTATAGCACCTACCACAGTGTCAAAAAATATATATACATTATACCTTTACATTGAATATATAATTACATTTATCTATATCGAAATTTCACATTCCTTTTGTACCATAAGTGTTCTTTGCAAGCAGGTTAGCATGCCCTATTAACCTATAGATCCTCCTGATGGCATCTGAATTATATACTAAATGTTTGTTTTGTTAATCTCCCTTAATTACTTATATATTCCTAATTCCCAATTTGGACAATGTCAAATATTTTCAATTACTTATACATTACTTTCATACACACACACACACAATTCCAACACCTATAGAAGAAGTGGCCTTCCAGAACAGAACATTACCTGGGTCATGGGAGGGTTTCACAGCCAGTTCAAACAGGAAGGCATTATTGAATTTATCTACAGAGGTGCCACAGGTAGGCATGAAGCCAAAAGTTGCAAGCTAGGAAGGCAGCCTTGCTCATGCATCAAGCACGAGAGGCTATGCAGGCAGGGTAGAAAAGAGTCAAAGATCAACAATAAGGCAGGCATAAATATAAAAAGGTAAAAAGGGGCTAACATGATAAAGTGGTAAAGAACAGAATTGAATTCAATAAATATTAAAATTGAGTAAAGACACAATTCACTGATTATATATGCATATAAATAATATGCATATAGTTTGGCATTTTCTCCTGGGCTACAGGTAACCATTTACAGGGCTCCTTTGCATCTCACAGTATTTGAGATTCCTATCTGACATTCACTTTCTCACCTGTGTACATATGCCCTCTGCTTGAACATAATATATTCTGCTTTTCTCTTTTCTTCTATCAGTGTTCACTTCTCAGTTTCCCTCATGGCTTTTTCTGCTCCCTTTTTAAAAACTGGTATTCCCTAGTGCTTCTGATTTTTTTCACTCTACACACCCTCTCTGACTAATTTTATATGCATCCATATCTTTCCTATTTATTGTAAGGGAAAAAGAAGTTTTTTACTTTCTGCCCAACACCTTCCTAGTTCCTTCTCCATCTAAGTCTTGCTAAATTAAATGATCAAATTTCAATACATTATTTGGACAAAAGTACAGGAGGCAATCACGAAAATGGAATATCAGTCACTGGTTCTGGGTTAGTACACGTGCTGGGAAGAAGACACCAAGATTCCACAATTTGGATTCTAGCTTATAAGGCAGAGTTAGAGACCCTGCCTCAGATCGGTATGTAAAGACTGCAGTTTTGTGACCAACACCTTTACTAGAGCCCTAAGCACTGGGCTCACATACCTAAATAGTATTTTGTTCCCCGTGCTTTACTGTTTCTACCATAGTCTCCTAACTAGTCTCCCTGCCTCAAGTCTTGCTCTCTGCCAATTCAGTCCCCACATTGCAGCCGGAAGAATTTTTCTAAAATCCACACCTTATCATGTTGCAAACTTCCTTAGGATCCTCCAATTTATCTTTAATGATTCATATATAAAGTCCAGCATCCTTAACATGGTGAACAAGGTATTTCACGACCTGACTTTTGTCCACCTCTGTCCTCATCTTCCTCCCCTGGCTTCTTGCCAGGTGAGCTGAATTATATGCAGTTTCTGGAGCACTCCATGCTTTTTTCTTCATTTCTTTATCTTTTCACATGCTGGAGACATCTTTTCCATTCAAATCTGTATTAAGTGCCTACTATGGGCCAGGTAATGTTCTAGGGAAAATAGACAATGTGATGACTAAGACACGGCTCCAGCCTTTAAGGAGCTTATACTTCAGTGTGTGTGTGTGTGTCTGTGTGTGTGCGCGCGCGTGCGAGTGCAGGGGGGTGGGGAGTAACAAATAATAAGTAAATAAATAAAAGCCATGTGGATACATGAAGAAAGAGCTTCCCAGGCAAAGGAAACAGCAAACACAAAACTGGTGACTTCTGAGGAAAGCAAAGAGGCTGTGTGGCTAGAGTGCAGTGAGCAAGAGGGAAAACGGCAGATAAGACTGGAGCAACAGGCAGGGGCAAATCACATGAGGCCTCATAGGTCACGGTAAGGACTGTGAATTTTATTCTCAGTATGATGGTAAGCCACAGGGAGTTACACACTCACTCAAGTTGGCTACTGTGTAGAAAACAGACTGGCTGGGGCAGAGTGGAAGCAGCAAGAGGAGAAACCACTTAGGAAGCTACTGTAGTCATGTAGGTGAGAAAGGGGGTGGACATACAGAAGACTGCATGAGGATCTACTATGAAGGAAGTACCAACAGGACTAGACTTGCTGATGGACTGTATGTGGGGTGCTGAGAAGAAATAACAAAGTTAGGGATCACTTCTAGGTTTCCAGCCTGAAAATGATGGATGCTGGCATAAGTTACTGAGAAGGGGAAGACTGCGTAGAAGGCAAATCTGAAATCTGGGTATTCTGTTTCAGACGTGTTTATTATGGCTGAGAGGCCTTAGCAGACACTGGAGGAAGATACTGAAACAGTGGTATATATTATTTTGGAGATCTGGGAAAAGGTCAGGGCTACGGTTCAGTATTTGGGAGTCATCAGCAGATACGTTTTATTTAAAGCTGAAGAACTGAAAGAAATCACTTAGGTATTGCAACATTAGAGGTCAATAAACGGAAGGAACCGGAAGAGTATGGCGTTCTAGGAGCCAAAGGAAGAAAGTACTTCAGGGAGGAGTGAGTGATCAACTTTGACAAATTATTTGAGAACTAAACACTTAACCCTGATTGTACCAAGATGGAGACTATCTAGGATTTAATCACTGTGCTTTTCATGGAATAGTAAGGAAGAAAGCCCCACTGGAGCGCACAGAAGAAACAATGGGAGGTGAGAAAATAGAAACATCAAGTATAGAAACACTTTTGAAACGTTTTGTTTAAAGGAGAATAGAGAAATAGGACATGGGAAGTTTTTGTTTTTTTTGGTAGAAGTGATTACAGCTCCAAGGGTCCATATCAATATTGGAAACTCACTTCAGCTCTACTTATAAAGTGCCAGCATCTTAGTCCTGAATTCTTATTTCCCACTGAAGTGGACATGAGTCCTGGATTGTGGACATCCTAACTGTTCCTTATGATCTGCTTAGAGTTTTCTACAACCCTACAGATCTGTCTCCTCAAGTGCAGTTCAACCTTTGCTCCATCCCAGAATCAAGCCTGGATCTGAGCTACCTCATGAACAAAGTTGAGACATAGGTCAGATGTTTAGAGACCAGAATGATCTTGCCAATGACCACCACCCCAACTGTTTCCCAGATTCTCCTCCCTTGGCTTTTATGATACTCTGCGAGTCTCTCGTCAATGTTCTCATCCTAGATGGTTTCATCTACTCCCACATCCCCTATGTGAATGACAATCCTGACTCTCCTCAAAATACTTTATAGTATTTTGTCTAACTGCCTGCTAGACTTTCCATTTGAGGACCTTTCTTTTCAAATTCAGCCTGTCCAAATCTGAACCCACTGCATTCCTTTTCAAACCTTTTTTCTATGATTCCCAGTTCAGAACCACATCATAACCTTTTCAGTGACTTTGCCATAAATTCTAGATTTCAGCTCAGAATTTTCTCTCCCCTGTATTCTAAGTCTAATCAGTCATCAAATTCTCTTAAATCTCCTCAGTAAGATGTCTCTAACAACCATCATTAATACATCCAACTTCAGGACCTCCTTACTCTATAATGACTACTGCTGTTGACCCTCAATTTGAGCCTTTCAGCCCAGTCTCTCACCTTTCCAGTATTATTTTCCACTGGATTTACCCCTCTTACTACATAGAACTCCTCTTATTATTTCAAAAAGCATTTACTGCTCCTTATTTAATTCATTTGTCAAATATTTAAAAAGCACCTACAATGCACCAGGCTCTATGTTAGGCACTGGTGATTCACAAGACATTTCAGATTCAGTAATGAAAAGAAAGTTATTTTCTTCAAGGAGTTTATAGTTTTGCATTAGAGACCAAGAAGGAATAGGCAACCACATCAGAATGTGATAATTTCTACAACAAAAACACAAGGTAGAAGTGGATGCGAATGTGAGCTCAGCCTCCAAAATATCCTTAGATGGTGGAGGCTGAAAGTAGGGAAGGGGTACCGGTGGTGGTTAGAGTTTTTTGGAAGAAACATCTAAGATGGGATTTTAAGGAATAAGCTGTAGGCTAGATGGAGGAGGGGTAGCATGAGGGCTGAAGGTAGCATCAAAATCTTTGAACCCAAGCCAGCTTTCCAGACTTATTTCCTAAAGTATCCCTCTCCACCATATCCTATAGTTGGTCAGATTCAAAATTGTTTCTATAAAAATGTCATATGCATTTCCAGTCTATCAAGATTTTCTAGAGAATCAGAGAACTGAGCGAACTACATGCTGGGAATTATATACAACACCACGATAGGGGGTAGTACTACACATTCGTAAACATCCTCCATAATGTTTGTGTTGGTGAAAAAGAGAAATGCTGTTTTAGAAATTTTGTTGTTAGTAGTTCTAATTTTTAAAGCTTTTTATTATGGAAAATA